TGAGAAACCCTGCCCTAGAAAAAATACACTTGTTTTTTGCAGATCATTTAGTGCTTCATCAGAAGCATGTGGCTTTTCTAGTGAAACAGAATTTTAGAATAATTTCTAAATTTTCTCTAAAGTTATAAACTATAAGTGAAATACAATTAGATTATCGTAATGTCGCTCTTAAACCTTCAGAGGATTTCACATGGTAGAAATATTAACAGCCTCTTTCTATTTAAGCCTGTTTATGTGCTTGCTCGGTGAAGAAGCCCTGGTGGCACAAGTGGTTAAGCGCTTAACTGAAAGGTCGGCAGTCTGAACCCACCAGCCGCTTGGTGAAAGATGTGGCAGTCTGCTTCTGTAACGATTTACAGCCTTGGAAACCCTATGACACTGTTCCATGCTGTCATATAGGGTTGCTATGAGTCGGAATTGAATCATTGACAATGAGTTTTGGGTTTTTATGCACTCCATAAGGAGCTTTGATGGCACGAATGGTTAAGCACTTGGCTGCTAAATGAAAGATTGGTGGTTCAAACCCACCCAGTCGCTCCTCAGGAGAAAGACTTAGTTATCTGTTTCCATAAAGGTTACTGCCAAGAAAACCCCATGGGGCAATTCTGCTGTTACACAGGGTCATTATGAGTTGAAACCCTGATGGCACCCAACAACAACATGTGCTAGATATATTACTAAGCACTGTATGTCCATTCTCTCATTTTATACTCAAGACATCCTCATGGGAGTTCTATTAACCACATTGTACCAAGAAATAATTTAAAAGTCTATTTACTTATCAAAATGTTTCCACAAATAGTTATTTATCGCTCACTATATTCATTCTGCCATTGAACTAAGAGGAAAGTAACTTAACTTGCCAAGTTTACAATCTTTTATAAAAAAATTTCAATATACATATCTAGCAACAAAATAATTTGAATTATTACAGCCTTCAGGAGTCAGCAAAATCTTCACAGCACCTCACAAGTCAGAGAGACAATACTTATGTTTCTTGAATAAACTGTTTTACAACTGTGGCATAATGAAAGAGTACTTTTTAAACTGTTTCATCCATGATTCCCTGAGTACTTCCAGTAACTTTTTTATTCCCTTTGCATCACCTTGCTAAATAATCAATTAATTCACTTTATAATTATTTGAGGATTGATTTGTAATTTTAGTCTGCCTTTCAACAGAAATTGAAGGGTGAGTTCAAACCCCAGCTTGTCCACCTACCAGAATTTAGACAAGTTAACTTTGTTCTGGCCTACCTAAAGGGCTCTGCTGCATAGATTACATGACACTTAGACCCTCAAGAAGTTATTCTGCCCCTCCTTTCATCCTCAAATCATAATGAAATATGGGGCACATTCTCCTGAAACATTTGTTGAGAGTCTACTAACAACAGCCAAGGGAGGATGTGATAGAGCAGTTAGTCCAACATTACTGACACCATGTTAACTATTTGGAAAGCAATACTTTCACTTCTAAATCCATCGTCTCAAAAATCATTTATGCCGAGGGAACTACTCCTTTAATTTGAGATTTCACAATTACTGGTAATGTTTCTCAAATAGAAAAGTATATCATCATACACACTGAACGCATGCATAATGTATCACTTATATTATCTATTGTCTGCTGCTTTGCTTTCCTTGTAGTAGGAGACACAAGACACAAGAACTTCCTTTTCACTTCTTGAAAAGAAGTGTTCCTTCCTCTCTCCCTTCACCCACACAACTGCCAAGAAATTTTGATTCATATTTCCCTCTAAAGAGGGAAGATAAATTGAAGCCTTTCTTCTCAACTCAAGGCTGCGTGTATAATCCATATATTTAGTTAACTGTCACCTACCCAAGTGCGTATTATCCTTTTCATGATTACTCACAATTAAGTCATGTTACTAATAAATGCAAGTTACTTAATATTACCCTCAGTAAATATTAGGAAGCAAATCTTTAAAAAGAAACAATCTTTGACTGGAAATTAGGTTATATAATCCACTGCTATCCTCACTGTCAAACAAAACTGAGAATTACTGTAACTCATTGCCATCAAGCCAATTCTGACTCCTAATGACCCTACAGGACAGAGTAGAACTGTCCTGTAAGGTTTCCAAGGCTGAAATCTTTATGGAAGCAGACTGCCATATCTCTTCCCGCAGAGTGGCTGGTAGGTTCAAATCGCTGACCTTTTGGTTAGCAACCGAGAGCTTTAATCACTGCGCCACCAGGGCTCGTATGAGAATAACTACACTAGAGTTTTATTAATCAGTGGAAAAAATTCAACTAATGAAGGTAATCTTTTCTTCCAGTCTAAAAAATTTAATACAGAAAAGGCCTTCACAAAGCTTACCTACAGGACAGTACCCGGGCAGGAACCTAGACACAAGATTTCAGGTAAAAGTTGGTAACTTGGGAAGTATATCAGTGTAACACTCATAATTTAGCAATATAAAATGAAAATTCTTTAAGTTCTTCCTGTTTACTTTTATTTCCTTGGATATTTAGGAAGTAGTGGAACTTTATAAAATAGTCAATCTTATTTGTTCTTAATGTTTATTCCAAAAAACAGAATAAGAGCAGTTAAAAATTCTCCAAGTAAACTCGACCCTCAAATAAAATCTCAAATTCTAAAGCAATTAACCATAAATGACTTAATTGTGAGTAATCATAAAATGGAGAATATGCTCTTTGGTAGGAGACATTTAACTAAATATACAGATAACCCATCTGATCAAGTAAATAAAGCTAAATGTAACCAAAAACCAAGTTGTTCATTAATGATATAAAAAGCAAAAGAGAAAAAAAAAGACCTTCTACCAGTCAATATATTAAAAAGATCAACTGTAACCTAATCTTCAGAAGTTTAAATTGCCTGTAAATACTGAGTCTACTGATAGCATGATTTCGGGACAGCCATGAGTCAGAATTGATTTGAAGGCAACTCATACTGTAGATGTTAAACATATAGTTAGAAAACAAGTGCTCTAAAGACACTGAACCTCTAAATCCAGTGAATACCAACTTACCTTTAACACTGGTCAAAAAGAAAAATAAAATCAAAAGTCAGTTTAAACTAAAGCATTAAAAACTTAACTGAAAATGTCAACTCCATCCTTCTTAACTACTGTTATACTGTTTGCTGAAATCAAGTTTAAGAACAAATAAAACTGATTATTTTATAAATGCTTTCAATGCTTGGAAGAGCATAAAATCAAGTGTCAGTGAACATGACGGCCACTTCTCATTAATTTTAATTTCTACTTGTTACCAGAATGAAATTAATAGCTGATACAAAGTCTTTTCATATTCACTCATTTAACTACTATCCCTATTAAACAAAAGAGGAAACCGAGGCACAGAGAGTTGAAGTAATTTGTCCAAGGTCACAAAACTAGGAAGTGGTGCAGCCAGGGTCTGAACCCTATACATATAATAAACAAAAAGAGGAGAGAGTGGAACAGGAGTAGTTAAATTTTTTTTTCAAAACAATCTGCAAAACAAGAGTGTTGTGTATGAGAACAAAACGTTTAAATTATAAAACATGCTGATCTGAATGCAGATTACACAAATTTTACCCTATACAAGCATTCTGGTGCTATAATATTTTATTACATTCAAATACTTCAAACTATATCAAATCGCCATGCCAGTAGACCGAGGAAAGAAAAAATAATATTTGTACCGTCACTGTACCGTCTTTTACACTGTAATGTAAAAGACTAGGATACGTAACTGGAGCAACAGTTTAAGGAAAACGACTTTCTCGCAGAGCAGTTAATTAGGAGAGAGAGCGTGTGTTAGAGGAAGTGGGAGGAAGCGAGTAAGAAAAGATGACAATCACACTGCCTTAACGCCCCCCTCCCACCGCAGCCCCAAAAAGTAACTAAGTCACTGTGGGTCAACGCTGAAGCCAACTGGAGAAGTGGCCCAACGGGTCTTGAGAGGGGATGACAGGAGACCCTAGGAGAGGGGGAGGGGACGCAGTGACAGGAGAGGGGGCGGTAGAGAGATGGCATGCCTTCCATCCCAGAAAAAGGGGAAAATCCAGGGGCAAGGGGCGGAGAGGGGAAATCAGGAAATGTTACAGAGGGTCCAAATGAGGTGAGCACACTAGGGTAAGAAACACAAGAAAGGCGGGACCCTCGGGCAGGAAGGGGTCTGTTTGGGGAATAGGAGGCATGTCAGTACAGAGCTTTCCTCCCAGCTGACCCTGCCTCCCTCCAGCACCTCTGACAAACCCTCACTTCTTGACAACCCTAAGCCTGTGGGTCAGCCAGGTCCCGCTCCCCCACCCCCCACCCCAAGCCAAATAGGTGGAGGGGGGAGCTTCACCCTCACCCTCCTTGTGGGCTGGAAGACCGAGCATTGGACAGAGCCAGACTGGGTGGACGAGACGGCCAGGAGACGCAGGGAGGCCCTGGGCCGGGGGTGACGAGACGGGGCGGCCGACGAGCGCCTCACCTGACAGAAGCGTCGGCAGTAATCCCGACTGCTGATCCCGACGCCGCTACCACCGCAGCTGCCGCCGCCAGCGCTGCCTCCGCCGTCACCCGCAGCTCTAAGCCTCTCGGGCCCCGGCGGGGACTCCACAATGGCCACGAGCTCTTCTCCGAGGCGTTCGGCCTCTTGGTCGCTCTCCTCCTCCGCCATGAGGCTCTCGCCGCCCAGCGCGTACCAGCCCCTGCGCCGCCGCCGCTGTAGCTGCCTTGGCTAACCTCCTCCTCCTCCTTTAGTTCCCTCCCCCTTCTCTCCCCCCTCAGCCGGACAGGGGCCCCTCGGCTGGGCTCTACTTCCGGCTCCGCCCACCCACGCCCCCAGCTTTCATTGGCAAAACATAGCCGTCAGTCATGTTTATTCCCGCCTTTCCACTACCATTGGTCAAAGTAGCCGTCTGCTTGATAGGCACGCTGTCCGTTGGTCAATACTGCTCTGCGGTTGCTGGGGTCCGCCTACCGGGCTCTGCCATAGGCGGTGCAGGAGGACGGGGCGCGGCGGGGGACACGGCAGCCGCCGCGGGGCTCGATCGGGCAACGGCGGTGGCAGCGGCAACTAGTCCTCCTCCTTCCTCATCTCTTTGCTCTTCATCTTCCTCCTCCTTTCCTTCCCGGCTGTGTCTCGTCCACTTACCCTAACGGCAGCCCCGATCCTACGGTACCAAGGAGCTGGGGAGGCCGAGGGTGGGCCCGGCCGTTGCTGCGGGCTGTGGGCCCCGAGCCTTCCGTCCCGAAGCGGGAGCTGGGGGCGGGGCCGTGGCACCGTTGTCGGCGGGAGGAAGAGGGAGGAGACGGGAAGCCTGACAGTGGCCGCCTCCGTCTGGCGCCAACTGCTTCTTCCTCTGAGACTACCGCCAACTCCGCTGTCGAGTTCCCGGGCCCAGGGCAGCTGGGATTCGGCCCTGCCCAGCTAGCAGGGCCGGGGCGGTGGGGCGCCGGCGTGCTGGGCTCGACTCGAGAGGAGGAAGTGCAGACGCTCGGGAACGGCTCGAGCCTCGCCTTTCCCTCCCCCGCTCGAACCCCAGGGCCTAGGGAGCGCGAGAAGATGCCGAGCGGGGCGGACACCTAGGAGGGACCTGGGGATTACGGTTGTGGTGTAAGCGTTGGAATCGGGGTTTGTGGCGTGGAATTATTTAACCAGAGCGGTTTTAGAGACACCTGCCTGGTAGTGGTTGTTGACGTTCTTCATCTTTTCATCCACCCTTCTTTCCTTCCCCCGCCCTTCCCCCATTTTTTCTTCCAATTTGTTTTTCCTGTTTTACAGTAAAGGCATGACTTTCCGGTACCGCAGGGAAAACAGGGTGCAAGCCCAGAAACTATTTCCCCATCACCACTTGTTGAAAAACTGACTTGGAGGCATCTCCGGGTTTGAACAAACGGAAAGTACCAGGGATTGATGCGCCTCTAGTTTTGCTTGGAGACCCTTCACTACTAAGTATCAAGACGAAAAGAACTGGAAACTAATCAGGTAAACATTTTAAAGTTCTGATGAGTTTTATTTTGATCCGGTGAAGGATTGGCTTCTTCTCTTTTGTTGTTTAATTCTTGCTCTTGACTTTTTAACTGTTTTGTTTGTTTAAAAAAAAAATCTTTATCTTGTGTTGAAAATACTCTTGTTCTTTGAGTCTGTAAACTCGAGCATCCTCTACTCGGTGGATAATTGTCTCTGCAGTAACAAACAGACCTTTTGAAAGTTACAAGACATTGGTATGCATAGAACTTTCACCTTAGCACAAGGGATTGAGCATTTTACACGTCAAGGGATTATGTGCTTATTTATTGTTTCACAGTTTAAAATCTAAATCTTTACAGGCAGAAGATTTTTCATGTAGGAAATAAAATTATTACTGGAAAGAAGTATTTAATATTTTTCTTAAGTAGCTTAGAACCATTAATCATAATTAGGACTGACTCACCATAGGAATAAAAACATATTGTAACTTAAAGGACAAATACGTGTAATAGTAATTCACTAACTACTATACAGGAATCATATTTGTCTTACCTGCCATTGTAAACCCATAGCCTAACACATTATTTCGCACGTAAAATACATGCATGAAAAAATAAAACATAACCTAAGATAGCTACATGAACGTTAGAATTTATCATGCTTTCCAGAATTTTTCTGAAATGTTGAGTTATTCCCTGGATTCTTTGTATCCACAAGTGTTAGCAATTTAAAGTTCTTTTGAGAAAGATTTTATGTTAGAAACAAACAAACCCGTTGTGGTCCAGTCAGTTCCAATTTATGCGATCCTGTATGTTACAAAGTAGAACTGCTCCGAAGGATTTTCTTGGCTATAATTTTTACAGAAGCAGATCATCAAACCTTTCTTTCCTGAGACTGCTGGTTGAGTTCAAACCAACCTTTACCTGGCTATTCTCTAGTACGAATTAACGGAATAGTCTCTTGTTTCTGATTATACTTTTAAAGTGCAGTTCTTCAGAACATACATTGGCAGTGTGCTTATACAGAACAGAATTCCATTTTTAGTTCTGTCAAATGCATTTTAATTCTTAAATCTAGATTAACTTAAATATTTGTAAGCGCTTAGCCTAAAGTCATGGCCCCAGGTAACCACTAAGACATAACTAATGATTTTGAGGACTTGGCATAGACTTAAGTTTTCAGTGCCTGTAACATTATGATTTTGGCACGTAGTCCTATGATCATAAAAGTTTGCTGTTAGGATAAATTCAGAAATTATTAAGCTGCTTCTGGGTTAAATAAAAATTTGGATAAATGGTGAAGATTCTTATTCTTCCATCAGCATTTTTTGATTGCACATCTATCATATGGTGGACACTATGTTAAGGTCTTGGTTTTGTTCTAACTTGCTAGTTAGTAAATGCAATAAATATTAACAAATGTAATTATTAATATTTAATGGGAAAAAAAGCATAAAAAGTATTAGGAAAAAAGTACTTTCCATATCTTAATTGTCACCTTTTAGAAAACTTAGGAGAAGTATATATGCATTAAAAAATAACTTACTTTGAACTTCTTATTTTTGCTCTAAAATTTAAATGCATTTGATCTGGGTTCTTTCTTAGTTTTTACTTTTTTGTCATCATAGCAGTTTCGAAAATTCTGTTCATGTTCATATAGACTTATGCCAGTTTAGTGGCCCATCTGTTTAAACAAACTTTGTGCACAATTCCCCACAATTTTATTCCTAAAATCAGTTGTCCTAGAATTGTGAATAGAAAAGAAGCTTTTTTAAACTTAAATAAGATTAATAACACTAAAATATTGACCCATGATTAGGTTTTCCTAAAAGATAGTAGTATCTCAGATAGTTTGAGTTCTTTATTCATAGTGCTAATTTCTTTGAATTTCAAAAAAACTGAGGAATAGTCCTAATTGTTATTTTAATAGTAACTTGATCTGGTTTTTGCCTTCCCTTACCTGTTCCAGGTAAGTTATAACTTAATAGACACAAATTTTGCTAATTTGAATTAAGTTTTTTGAAGTCTTCAATCTTAGTTTTATAACACTTGACTTTTGTTTCTCTTATCTAAAAGATCCTTATTCGAAGTCAGAATGGAACGATTTGTAGTGACAGCGCCGCCTGCTCGAAACCGTTCTAAGACTGCTTTGTATGTGACTCCCCTGGATCGAGTCACCGAGTTTGGAGGTGAGCTGCACGAAGATGGAGGAAAACTCTTCTGCACTTCTTGCAATGTGGTTCTGAATCATGTTCGCAAGTCTGCCATTAGTGACCACCTCAAATCCAAGACTCATACCAAGAGGAAGGCAGAATTTGAAGAGCAGAATGTGAGAAAGAAGCAGAGGCCCCTGACTGCATCTCTTCAGTGCAACAGTACTGCGCAAACAGAGAAAGTCAGTGTCATCCAGGACTTTGTGAAAATGTGCCTGGAAGCCAACATCCCACTTGAGAAGGCTGATCACCCAGCAGTCCGTGCTTTCCTGTCTCGCCATGTGAAGAATGGAGGCTCCATACCTAAGTCAGACCAGCTGAGGAGAGCATATCTGCCTGATGGATATGAGAATGAAAATCAACTCCTCAACTCACAAGATTGTTGACAAGGAGGTTACCACCATTGTGATCAAGATAAATAATGTGGAGTATTAAAGTTATGTGTTATTGTGTGGCTCATTTTTATATTTATTTCATTAAAATCATGTGATGCAGAATAGTTTTGCAATATGTATATAGCTGCAGGAAAAAAAAATACTGCAAAACTTACTGTTAATTTTAGTCACCAACGGTATACAGTAAAACTTAGGTTTAGAATGTGCTAGGATATCTGAAACCTGATGGTTATCTTCAAAATTGATGGTTTTTCTCCTGAAATGTGCATGGAAGAACTGCCCTGCTATTTTACCCTGTTGCCGTGTATGACTATTCCTTGTGAGGTTACTTAATTATTCTGATTGAAGATTGGCTTAGGAAATTGAAGCTGCTGCCAGGCGACACCACTCATAGTAACTTAAAGGAATTGTTTCTGATTACAGGATCCTCTTCAAAAAGGAAGGGGTGGGAGGAAACTGTTCTTATATCTTCAAATCCATAGCAGAAATGACTGTGTTTATCTATTTCAAACTATGGTTTGCTTGTATGTGATGTTTAACTATCCTTCAGTTCCTCACTGTCTTTTTTTTCCCCTTTTTAAAGGCTTGTTGTATTTAGTAGCAGCTTCGACTGACCAAAAAAGGAGCCCTGGTGGTGCAGTGGTTAAGTGCTCAGCTGCCAACTGAAAGGTCAGCAGTTCAAACCCACCAGCTGCTCCATGGGAGAAAAATGTGGCAATCTGCTTCCGTAAAAAGATTTACAGTCTCGGAAACCTTATTTGGGGCAGTTCTACTCTGCCCGATAGTGTGGCCGTGAGTCAGAATCAACTCACCGGCAGTGGGTTTGGTTTGGGTTTGGTCAGGTGACCAAAAGACTAAAATCTTTCCTTTAATGTCAGTGCCAAAAGCCTTGGGAATTTTTGCAGTGACAAGATTTTAGTCTCTTAACGATAAACACTTTTTAACTATAGCTTTTATTTTAAGCGTCATCTTGAATTTGCAAACATTTTTTATGTCTTGGTATTAAAAGAATCCAAGATTGGCAAGGTAGACATTTTATGGTGGAGTTTCCTGTTTCTACAGAGAATTAGTAAATACTTTTTGGCTGACAGATCAGATAATAATATGGAAATTATTTTCCGTACATTAATTTTTTCATATGATTTTATAAGATTATTTAGGTAAATAGACAAGGGACAATTTCATTCTTAACCTTCTTTGCCTCTGGTGGTACAGGTTTTGAAACATGATAGTAAACAACTCGAGAAATTCTGGCAAGATTTTTGTAGTGAAGATCTGGCAGTATCCTGCATAACTATTTGGAAGGGGAAAATAATCAGTTCTGATAATGGTCAACCATGTTCAGGAAATGATTTCTCTGAACCTTACTATTCTGGAAGGTTATCAAAGTAGCTTAGTCCAGCTAAGTCCTCTCCATCAGAGACCTAAATTATATTTTTAAAAATAATAACAAAAAACTTGGATTAGAGCTTTAAAAAAAAAAAAGTTCTTTGAAAATATTCAAGTTAAGAATATTTATAAAATATATTTCTATTACAAAGCACTGACAAATGATTCCCTGTGTGACTTGGAGTTATCTTTGAGGTCATTTTTACTACAAATCTTCATTTGAAAAGCCGAAGTCGAAGTCAATAGGAAAAAGCTTAGATTTTGTATTTTTTGGAAACAATTTTCCATATCTAAGTTGCTTTTACAGACTTAAGTTCCTAGTTCATGTTGTCAAAGTGGCCATCTCATTTTAGATTTTATGGTCTTTAATTTTCAATAAGCCTGCCACCAAAAAGAGAAAAGACACCAAAATTTGGACAACCATTTTTTTCTCATTCTCGGTTATGTTAAAGTAGCATAACAAATGCCTGGAATAGTGCTGTCGTTGATAAAGCACATGCATGAGACCAGCAGCAAAACAACCCAAATGTCCTTTGCTTTACTTCCTCTAGAGAGGAATTTGCAGGCAACCATGTTTAGTTTGAATTATCTAAGATGGTAAAAATTCTAAGAAGCTAGGAAAAATGAGTTTTATATCATTTTCAGAATACAAATATAAGATTAGCTATACAATCATTCTAATTTTTCTAAATTCTATGTGATTCAGGTAGCCCTCTACTATTTGGGTATTAATTTGCATTGATAGCAAGCAGATAGCTACAGAACAGCTTGAGTAGTCCTAAGCAATAAACTGGATAGTGTTGCAGTAGAAAAACACCATCAGTATTTCATATATGAGTTTCTCTTATTACTGATTTGATGATCATTTAGGTTTCCTGTATCTAAATATATTTCTCCAGGCTCCTATTATACACTATCTAGGGACATCCTGTAGGGATTATCATGTTCTTAGTAGCCTTTTCCATCCAACTGTGGGAGTTTAATACTAATGTTTCTTTACTGATTATGAAACTTTCATTCCTTGAAACTGGTTAACTTTTGCCTTACAGTTAAAAAATATGTAAGGCAGAATGATTGTTTTCACCTTTTCAAACTTGTACAAATCCATGAAACCATGGTTGTCGTGTTAGATAACAAATGGAAACATCTAAGAGGCATATGCTGCTTTGGAGGTGTAGTGAACGTGTACAGAAGCTTTCAACCTTAACTATAGTGTTAGTGTGATGCTATACTATTGGAAAAAAATAGCAACCTTTTTTCTATTTTATAAGTTGTATGCATAAACATAAGATTTGTAATGTTTCATTTATAAACTGCCTTCCTCAACACATGGTTACCTGTTAATAGTGTTCTCAAAGTATGATAGTATGTCTTCCAGAATTTCACTATATGCTTACATTAAATAGTTCTAGATTGTTGAGATGTTAAATTTCTTGTTGGTTTCTTCCTGATTCTATGGGGCATATAGCAAGCCTGAAGGACATTGTAACCATTTCTTACAGGATGAAACTTTAGAAGGATTGTGTATGAGAGCCTATATTGTTTTATCCATTATCATCTTTGAGTAAGTTTTGTTTTTTGTTTTTTTTTTTAAAAAATGCTACTTCCAGTTCATACATTTGGCCCTGCTGAATTTTCAGGGGCCAGAAAACTTTAAAGAAAAAGTTTGCGTCTTACAGTTGTAACCAATTACACATCAGCTTGGGATTGTTCTGAAGTATTAATTGCTTAAAAACCATTCTTGTTAACAGTTAGCAGGATCTGCAAGCTGAAAGCTCCGTGTTAAAAATTTTGCCTGAAATAATTTGTACATGAATGTTAATGGAAAACATATAAACAAAATAAAATTTAAGGTGGCCCAAAACTAAAGCCATAAACAAATTTGTCATTTGGTGCTTAGTCTTTGTAAGGGCTCTCTGTGGTTTGACTTGCCCCAACTGCCGTTAAATAAAGACAGATCACCTTAAAACACATGATCATTGGAATCATTAAATAGAAGATTAGTTACATAATTTTATTGAAAATTTTATTATCCTAAAATAAATTGCTTTAGCTTCTGGTCAGCACTGATTAAAATGTGAATAGTGAAGTGGCTATACTAAACCTTGGTTTTTCTCATCCCGTACTATCATAGGTTTCTGAGGTAAATACAACTCTTATTTAGTGATATTCTACTTGTATCCAAAATACTGTACTAATTAATAATTTACTATGTTCATTTTTTTATTCCTGTGCTTATTTTCTTTGCTCACGCATGTATCCTTAGTATAAATATGTCGCTTTTAAAATTTTGTCTGTGACTTTTAGAAATAAATTTCAACAAAAAAAAACTATTTTCAGAAGTTTTTCAAAGTATATTTTATTATTTTGTGAGTCAATAACAGATGTATGTCTTAATTCCAAAAGGTCAACAGAACTTCATTAATTTTTAATTTTTTTCTACTAGATACGTCCTTTTATAGGAGTATTAGTCCATATGTCCAGTGTAAAAGCATATTCGGTCAAATCACATGGTCTGTATTTCCCAAAATTCTTTATATAGGTAATATTAAATAAGTTAAATCAGTACTTTTAAATGGAAGCATATTTTAATTTTCTACTTTTAGAAACATTAATTATGAAAGATAAAGGCCTTTTTACATCTTGTGAGATTTATTTTTTGAAGGATTTACTATTTTCCCATTTGCCAATTGGGACCAAAAAAATGCAAAGAAATTGAAAGTTGTACTGCCTTTCAATAGACTTGCACAGTTTTCGGGGAAAATATTTTCCCTACTTTTCACTTCTGCTTGGCAAAAAAATACATAAATTAATTTACAAAGTAATTAATAAATTAACTTATTTTCCCTGGAATTAAAATGTTAGAAAGGACCTTAAGAAAATCAGTGAATACTTAACTTCCACTTTAATCTCTCCAAACCATCACAGATCTGTCTTCACTTATCCTAAAGAATCTCTAAAATACCACAACCTTTCTTGATTACATGTAAACCAGTTGAGTGTATGTGCTTTTAAACTAAAACCAAACCCAAGGCTGTCGAGCAACCCTATGGAAGAGTAGAACTGCCTCCTAGGCTTTCCAAGGAGCGGCTGATGGATTCGGACTTTCGATTTTTTGGTTAGCAGCCGAGCGCTTAACCGTTGTACCACCAGGGCTCCATGTACATTTGGGTCTCATAATTAACAGTTCCTTTTTTTTTTTTTTTTTTAGGTTTTTGTATGCATAAATTGAGTCATATTATGTACCTTTGATAAGGTGTGTCATGATGCAAGAATGCTTCTGGGATCAGAATGTGAAAGCTAAAACTAGAAAGTAGATTAAGACTGTTATGCAATGTGATCCATTTGATATGTATGGCATGACTTCCATCTGATTACTCCTCCAATATGTTACTTGATTACAATTGTTTTATATGCAAACTATTTGGAGTGAGTGCTTCTTAGCTCTGTCTTGTTTAAATAATGGTATCATACAAAAGCCCATGTCCTTATATGCTCTTGGTTAAAATTGAAAAACATGCGTTCAACTAGTATTTATTGTGTTCCTACCCTGTGCCACATACTGCCCTTGCCAGCCGCTGGGGACACAGCAGAGAAAATAAAAAATTCTGTCCTCAAGGAGCATACATTCTAGTGATGGTTCATTGCTATAATACAGTGACCCCTGGGGATAAAAATCCTATCTTTGTCTTTTCTAGGCAACTCCTTTAAGCATTTTTCATGAGTCTAGTTACCAAATAATTACTACTGGTTCCGTCTGGCTTCTCAAAGTCTTACTTTGCATAAAAAGAGCAATAAAAATGGGGAATGTGCAGATTTTTAAGAAGATCTTCATGTCCTTTGAAAATCTAATAGTCTATAAATTCCATAAAAGTATCGATTTCAGATTAAAACTGTTAAGCAGTGGAAATGACGAGTTTAAATGCCTGCAGCCTAAGAATCTACCACAGACATTTTAATGCAATGCCCAAGGTACACCAAGAACTTTATTAGATATTGGATATCAAGATGATCACTGCATCACTGCTATACTTAATCACACAGTGACTAATGATTATCATAATCCAATCCCCTGGGATGGTATGTATATTAGAAGACAGACTACCCAACCTTTTTTGATAAGCATAAAAGAAATCAGTGCATAATGGAAAACTTTGTTTTTTATCTTTTTCGTATTTAAATTTTTTTTTGTTTTTACCATGCACATGTAGTATTCAATAATAATAATAATATGCAATAAATTCTTTTAAATTTTGCAAATCCCACTCTCATGACTATATCCTACAGAAATAGCCAATAGGTAAAGATACATGTAAAGTTTAATATTATAATTAAAAAAACTACGAACACCCTGAATATCCAGCAGAATTATGGCATATCCATATTATGGAGCTATTCAAGTGATCAACAAGAAGAGCTCAAAAGAGATATCTACAATATTGCTAAGTTTACAAAATTTACAGAATGTATTTTCTCATTGCTGAGACAAAAAATAAAAGAACAGTGTTATTTAAGTGCAATATGTTTGTATGAGGTAAGTGGGCACACACCAACTGTTAACATTACTGATGAGGTGATATAGATGGGGCAGAAGGAGAATATTTACTTTTTTTTTTTTGCACCCCTGTATGGCTGACTTTACAACAAGCATGTTATTTTTGTCACGCAAAATATGAAATAGACTTTTATTTAAACCGCCTCACAATAATTATATCCAAATTGTAAAGAAGAGGAACATAACATAATCCATCTACCATATTAATGAAAATATTAAAGGATTTTAATTGCTGGACAAATATTTTAAAGCATTTTTATTTTGAATTCTTAAAAAATTACTTATATAAGCTAGAAATAGAAGTACCATATGATCCAGCTATCCTGCTGCTTGGAGTATATCCTAGAGAAATAAGAGTCATCACACAAATAGATACATGCACACCCAAGTTCATTGCAGCACTGTTCACAATAGCAAAAAGATGGAAACAACCTAGATGCCCATCAATGGATGAATGGGTAAACAAATGATGGTATATTCACAAAATGGAATACTATGCAACTATGAACAGTGATGAGGCCGTGAAACATAACATGGAGGAAGTTGGAACTCATTATGCTGAGTGAATTTAGTCAGTCACAGAAGGACAAATACTGTATAAGACCACTATTACAAGAACTCAAAGTTTAAGCAGAGAAGAAAACATTCTTTGATGGTTATGAGGGTGGGGAGGGAGGGGGAAGGTTATTTACTAACTAGATAGTAGATAAGAATTGTCTTCGGTGAAGGGAAGGACAGCAGGCACTACAGGGGAAGTCAGCACAACTGGACTAAACCAAAGCTAAGAAGTTTCCTGAATACAATCAAACACTTTGAGGGACAGAGCAGCA